AAATTTTTTTTAAATTTAAAAAAAAAAAAGAAAGTAAAATCAATAATAATAATAATAATAATACCGTAGAGTCGTAGAAAAAAATTTTATTTTATGGGAAGGGGGCCGGGAGCAAAAAAAAAATTTAATTTGTACAAGTAAATATATATATATATATATATACATTTATAAAATTGAAATGGGGGAGGAAAATTTCAGAAAACCTGACCTTGACCCAAAATGACCTGACAAATATATAAATATATGGGAAATTCGTATTTTTTCTATCATATATAGTATATATATATACAATATAAAGTATATGATAATATTAAACAAAACTCAAATTTTTTTAGTGTTGGTATAAAAAAAAAAGAGAAAAAACCTTTCATTTCACGAACGGACCGCCATTAAAGGAAACATTATAATTAATTATTTTTGACGTCAATTAATTTTCCTTAAAAAAAAAAAAAATTTTCCCCATTTTTCCTCAAAGTCGTCGTCGTCGTTTTACCTTCATCATCATCATCATCATCAACAACATCATCGACATTATTATTTTACTTAAATAAAAAAAATTTTCTCGTTTAAAAAAAGTTCCGATATTTTTCACTTATTTACCGGAAAATCTACGTTTATAACAATAATAATAATAATAATAATAATAATAATAATAATAATAATAATAATAATAATAATAATAATAATAATAATAATAATAATAATATTTTATAAGGGATTTACGTTTATTCGGATTATTTGAGGTATGAAGAAGGATCGTTTTTGAAAACGAGAAAATAAAATGAGGAAAATGTGGAAAATTTTCTTCATGTGCAACGCTTTTGTTTATAACGTTATTATTATTTACTAAGTACGAGACACACGCACACGAACGCACTTTTTCAACAATACGTAAAATTTAAAGTAAAAACGTTTAATTAGTTTTAATTAAACTTAATTTACGTTATTAACTAACTTATATGATTTAATTAATTAAATCGACAAAAGTTTATAAGAGTAAAAAAATTCCAATTTGTTCTATTTAACGATTGAACATTTAAAAATTTAAAATGTAAAAAAAAACATTAAAAACCTAATTTTGTCGGTACGATGATGATGATGATGATGATGATTAAATGCATAAACGAAAAGGAAAAAAAAAACTATTTTTTTTTTTTAGAAAGAAAGAAAGAAAAAGTAAATTTAACGGTATTAATTAGTAAATTTTAATGGTGCATAAACTATCATTATTATCATCATTTCGATAAACACGCCCTAAATTCAGTACAAAAGATTAGGGGAAAAAAAACTGATGGAAAAGGAAAAACGTTAAGTTGAAATATTCAAGACACGCAAAAAAACATTTTAAATCGAACGTTTTCAAACAACGCCATTTTCACATGATAAAACATTAAAATTGATTAAATTTTCTTCTTTTTTTCTCTTTATGTCTTTCTTGCACGTTTAAAAAAAAAATTTTCTTTTTCAAGAAAAATCTTTTCAAATTCCAATTAAATAAATTTTCTTTTTTTTTTTTATTATTACCGTCATTATTATTATTATTTTGTTTAAAAAAAAAAAAAAACATTTCGTTTTAATCCTCGTACAAACTCCATTTTTTATTCCCCCCCCCTATCCATTTACTGAAATTTTTACTAAAACGGAAGAATAAAAATGCAAAGAAGTTTTTTTTTTTTTTTGACTCGACTGCATCGGTAACCGCATAGGTAAAGTTTTTTTATTACTTTTTTAAACTTATTATTATTATTATTTACAATAACGGAAATTTTATTCGTGTTTATAATGTGATTGAATTTATTTTAAAACCGTAGAAATAAGGGCATGTTAGTGGAAGTGGGGGTCGGGGGGTGGAAAAAGTGGATTTTTTTACTTTCAAAACGTAAAAAATCTTTTTTTTTATTTTTTTTTTTTACCCTAAAGAAAATTAGTCATTTTTTTTTCGATTCAAGATTGCCAACCCAAAAAAAAAAAAAAAATTTCGTATTAATAAAATACGTACACGTTCCACAAAAATAAAACTAACTATTTTCCAATATTTAAAAGTTATTTTTAAAAATTTATCATTTTTATCAAAATGAATTCTGGAATTTTTTTAAAAATAATAATAATAATAATAATAATAATAATAATAATAAAACGAGATAATGGAAGAAGGGCAACTTGCAACTTATAATATCAAAGCCCAATCTCAGAAGAAATTAATAGGCAAATGGGAACAGAAAAAATTACATGGGCAATACCTAAAAAGAATAAATGCCGAAGATATTAATAAGAAGAGCACGCACAATTGGCTACGGCGTGGAAAACTTAAAATTGAAACGGAAGCGTTTATTACAGCGGCTCAAGATCAGGCATTGCGGACCCATAACTATGAAAAAGTAATTCTCAAAGTCCGCCAAGATGACAAGTGCCGAATTTGCCAATCACAATCGGAAACCATCGATCATTTAATTTCCGGTTGTCCGATACTGGCAAAACATGAATACTTAGAAAGGCACAATAAAATATGTCAATATCTCCATTGGAATATATGCCGAGAATATGGAATGGATGGATTACCCAAGGAGTGGTACAACCACATTCCAAGCCCGGTTACGACAGTAGGTCCATGCACAGTTCTATATGATCAACAAATCCACACTGATAGAACTGTGCCAGCTAACAAACCGGATATCATACTCAGGCATAATGGGGAAAAATGGTGTAAGTTAATTGAGGTATCCGTGCCGGCAGAAAAAAACACCACAGCCAAAGAAGCAGACAAAAGGCTGAAATACAGAAATTTGGAAATTGAAATAACCAGGATGTGGGGAACAAAAACTGAAACGATTCCGGTCATCGTGGGAGCATTGGGAGCCATGCCAAATTCAATAAAAGGAAATTTAAAGAAGATTATGAAGAACCTAAAAGAAGAAACCATCCAGGAAATCGCACTATGTGGGACGGCCCACATTCTTCGGAAATAGTACCAACGAAATTCGAGCATTTATCCCTAAGGAATTGGGTAGAAACCTGGGATAAATACTTAAAAACCCCGACAAATAAGAGCCTTGTCGTGTTTAATGGTGAACATAATAATAATAATAATAATAATAATAATAATAATAATAATAATAATAATAATAATAATAATTTTCGTGTGTAAAACATATAAAAAAAAAGAAAATTTATCGTCTTTTTTTTTTTTGTTTATTTGTTTGGAAACAAACTTTTGAACTTTGTGCCCTTAACCTTGCGAATTTTTTTTTTCTATTTTTTCCAAACAAATTATTTTTTTATAGAAAAATAAAAAAAAAAAGAAAAACAAACGGAAAAAGAAAATGTTTTTCCATCAGAATTTTTTCTAGTATTTTTTTTTTTTTAATTAAATTTTTTTATTTTTTTTTCCTTCGAATTTTTAAGGTTTTCCTTTTTTTTTTTTTAATATTACAAATATATTTATTTTTTTCTTCGCTATTATTATTATTATTATTATTATTATTATTATTATTATTATTATTATTATTATTATTATTATTACTTTTTATGAATTTCAGATTTTTTTTTCGTTTTCATAATAAAAAAAGAATTTAAAATATGCCACGTTTAAAAAAAATAATAAGAATAATAATTAAAAGAAAAGATTTTTCCAAGAAAATTTTTTTTTTATAGGAATCGAGAAAAACGTTTTACGTCATAATTCGCATTCGGTAAATTATTTTAGTATTTAAATTGAGAATTTCGGTGGAAAAAAATTTAAATTTAAATTTCAAATTGAAAATTTCGGCAGAAAAAAAATTTAAATTTAATTTCTTTTTTTATGTTTACGAAATTATTAATTTTAAATGTTTACATTTTTTTTTTTTTGTTTTTAACACCTACAAAAATTTAAACGAAAATAAATAAATGCCTTCTGCTATTTTGTTTTGTTTTTTTTTTGTATAAAAACTGTCCTTGAGGGAGAAAAATAATTTATGAACGAAAAAGAAAAAAAGAAAAAAAATTTTTTTTCATTGCATTCGAACGACGCCATTTTTTTTTTTTGTATGTCGGCCCGTATCCGGTTTGCGTTTTTAAGAATGTATAAATAATTTTTTTTTTTTGTTAAATTTAATCAATTATTTGTTTTATTTTTTTTTGTGAAAAATTTATTAAACGGATGATTAATACGTAAATAAATTTTTTTTCGTTAGGATAAAATTTCAAAATAGGTTAACGATGAAAGGTTAACGTACGAAATTTTTTTTTTTTTTTTTTTTTTGGCAGACAGGAAAAGATTTACATGTTTACAACCGACTGACGTTTTTTCCCCTCCCCTTCTCTCCCCTCGCCGTACATGACATTTGATGATCGATATTGAATATTCAGACAAAATAAAATATCTTAAAAGCGAAAAAAATAGATAAAGATAAATAAATAAAAATTTTGAAAAGTTTATTTTTTATGAATTTGGTGAAAACAATATTTGCCCTTGCATTGATTTTTTGTTATTCGATATTTAAATTTTCTTAAAACTTTTTAATTTGCATTTTTTTTATCTTTTTTCAAAACGAAACGAAGAGAATAAAAAAAAGAAAAGTTTCCAACTGAAATCGTGAAATATTAAATTTCCGGTTTGTTTTTTTTCTTTTTCAAACTGACCTTATCCCTGATTCTCCTCCCCCGACAACCTTTTTCCTCTTTCTTTTTACTCTATGGCTTTTGTTTCATGTTTTCTTTTTATTTCCTGTTTTCATTTTTTTTTGTTTGTTTGCGAGGACAATGAGATTTATTAGGTAGTAAAAACATAATTTAAACAAAAATATTATTAAAAAATTTTACCGTTGGGATTTCAATACGCACAAGCAGGAAAACCCAAAAAAAATATAAAACATTATTTTTAGATAGCCCAAAAGGCAAAATAAAAGTTTATAATGAAAGGAATAGGATTAAAAAAAAAAACAGCAACACAAAAGAAAGAGGGGAAGGAAAGAGTGAATGTATAAAAACTTAACAACAAACCTTTTAACAAACATCGCCTTTCAAACAAACAACAACCAACCGACGTGTTTAAATTCTTTTAAAAAACATTCATTCAGTGATTGTGTACCCCCTAAACTTAAAATTATTTATTTAAAAAAGAAAAATAAAACTTACCCGTTCTGTATTTGACATCGATTTGAGCTTGAAGAATGTTTAAACCGGGTACCACAATGGACGGTAAAGTTCGAGATCTTAACAATGGCGGTTTTGTCTTCGGCAAAGCTTTTATTTCGTTTGTCAAACTGTAACGATAACCATTATAACCAAAATTAATCACCGCAAATTATTTATTCTCTTTAAAATGTTTTTAAAAAACGAAAAAAAAATTATTATTATTATTATCGTAATGTTGCACAACGTTTACGTCCAATAAAAAATTTTCCCACACCCCCTCCCGTTTCATTTTTCATATTTTTTTTTTTTTTTTACTTTCAACTTTTCCTTTTCCATTTCCCCCTCCCCTTTTCGCCCCTCCCACTTCATTTTCCCCCATCTTTATGATTTACGTTTATTTTTATTATTATCATTATTATTTTTTTTATTATCACGGTTAACTTTATTATTAACTTACTTGTCGCCGTTGAAAATAAAATTTCAATTTTTTAACATTTTTCAAGGTCTCAGACGTATTATTATTATTATTATTATTATTCTCGTATAAATTAATGTATTCCCTTGTGGCTTTTTTTTTTTTTGTTAAAAAATTTTTCCAACCGAGGATTTTTAAAATTATTTTAATATTTCGACTCGAAAATACTACAAAAAAGACAATTGAAATCTTTTAATAATAATAATAATAATAATAATAATAATAATGATAATGATAATGATAATAATGATAATGTTACGACGATCATTAAAGCTAATTTGAAAAGATTGAAAATTTTGTTTTATACAAACGTTTTACAATATAAATAAATAAAATCTCATGGTTTTATTTATTTATTTATGTATTGAACATTAAAATGATATACAAACACACACGAGAAAACAATTTAAATAAATTTTATATATAAATTGTTTAATTTTTACGATCGTAATTTCATCCCCCCATTATTTATTTATTTATTTATTAGCATCAGAAATTTTATTTTCGTTTATTATTAACAATTAATTTTACGTTTCGTTAATAATAATAATAATAATAATAATAATTTTTTATTAACTTACGTTAAATTTACGTGTTGAAAATCGTACAAAAAGAAATTATTTGAATTATTTTTGAAATGTTTTCATTTAATTTTAGGCGGAGGAGAGGTAAGGGTGAGGAAGGGGGAGGGCGTTCTTATCATAAAAAATATAATTTATTTTAATAAAATCGTAATCAATGAATGATTTTCGACGTTAAAAAAGCGTTAAATAAATAATAATAATAATTTTTTTTTTTCCTACAGTTAAAAATTTATTTTTATAAAATTTAAATGAGGAAAAAAGTTTTCTTTTTAGTTGGGGAGAGGGGGGGGGTTCGTGTAAAAATTTTTCTAAAAAAAAAAAAAAAGTTTTTAAATAATTTAATAACGTAGCAAATTATAAATAATTTTTATGAACGTAAAAAAAAAAAAAAAATTCCAAGAAATATATTTATTTAAAAAAAAAAAGAAAGAAAACTTTTGTTTTAAATGCATTTATTTATTTATTTAATAATTAAAAGTTATAAACTTTTAAATTATTAATAAATAATGACATTATATATATAATTACGAAATTTCACGGATAAAAAATTTATAGAAAAAAAAAAAAAAAGCAAAATTTTTTTTCTTTTTTTTTCTTTTTATCGATTGATGGATCGATTTTTTCATTTTTAATTTTTTATATGTTTGGTAAATTTTTTCTTTGTTTGTTTGTTTGTTTGTTGTTTGTTTGTTTTTGTCGGATTTAAAATAAAAAATGAGAATTTTGACCGCGATTTGGATTTTATAAAAAATTTTTTTTTCTTATTATTATTATTATTATTTTTTTTTTTTGCTCTCGTTCAATATTCATAATGAACGTTTTGAAATTTACATATTGATGGGAGAGGGAGAGGGAGGGGGGGTAAGAAGGGGAGGGAAAAATTTTTTAAATTATTAGTTTGTTTTCAAAAAAAATTTTTTCAGACGAGAGTTTTTTCTTCTGGAAATTCCAATTTTTATTTTTTTTCTTATTCAAACTTCATTCGTTCGTTCGTTGCGTTCATTTTGGAACCGAATTCAAAAATTTTTTTTTTATCTATGAAATCTTCTTATCAGTTCGCACAGATAAATAATCAATTGACCTTTCAACTTTCGCTTAGTTTTAAATTTTACGTTTTTTTTAAAAACAAATTTTTTATTTTTATTTCCCTCCTCCCCCCCCAACTCGTCGATTACTTTTGATGATAAATTTATGATTTCCGTTTACGACCGGAAATCGATATAAATAATAAAAATTTATTTTCGTCACGTTAAATTTATCGTAACTGAACGTAATTAAATGAATAACGAATAAAAAATTCATTTTTAATGATAATTCAATTATAAAGAAAATAATAATAATAATAATAATAATAACACTAATAATAATAATAATAATAATATTAATAATAATAATAATAATGATAAAAAATAATTTTCAAAACTTTTATTCATTTTGAAAAAAAAATATAATTTAAATTTGAATTTATTTTAATAAATTTATTTATTTATAAATTATTATTAATAATCGATAGATAAACCGAAAATTATTTTTATTTAAAAATGATTATCATCATCATTATTATTATTATTATTATTAATAATATTTAAGGAAAAAACCTTTTCCGTCGACCTCCCGTCAACATGAATATTTTATTAATTTTTATTTCGATTAAAGAAATATAAAAATCTGTTGGAAATTTTACAAGAAATACACATAAAACGTTTTATATTTTCCCAAGGGGTTGGGAGCAAAAAGGGGCAAAAAGAGGGAAAATGGAAAATTTAAAAAAAAAATTAATCACCAAATAATAATAATAATAATTAAATTGTTTCGTACGTACATAAATTTTTAATTAAAATTAATAGGAAATAGAAAATAAAAATAAAATTGTGAAAAAAATAATGAATATTAATGAATTTTATCCGGAAAATGTTGCGTAATGGAAAAGTTATATGAAAAAGATTTAAAATAAATTTTTAATGAATAATTACACCTACGAAAAAAAAAATAATAATAATAAATTTTTTTTTAAATGAGTTTTTTACGTTAAAATAAAAAAACCAACAAACAAACGAACAAACAACAAACGCGAAGAATGTAATTTTTGGAAAAAAAAATTTCGTTTTTTTTTTTGTTTTCAAGATGTTGCAAAATTTAATTTTGAAAAGAAAATTTTTAAATGATGAGTTTTTTTTTAACTTCATTTTCGAGTTTATTATTATTATTATTATTATTATTATTATTATTATTATTATCATCATCATTATTAAAAACGTAAGTATTAAATAATGACGTATTATCAAAAATAGAAAAGAAAATATTAATCCTTTTTTTTTTTTTAATGAATAAATATTAATATAAAAAAAAAAAACAAAAAACTTATTAAAGCGTAAACACTTAATACATTATTTTTTTTCTTATTTATAATAAGATGGCGTCGTCCGTGATCTTTAAATTATTATTATTATTATTATTTGCAAATAGAGGGCGTCTAATTTTTTTTTTATCTTACAGTACGTGAGTTTTAATTTTTTTTTTTTTTTTCCTTTTCTTCTATTTTTAATAATTTAAATTAGATTTTTTGTTATTTTAAATGACGTGTGCTCCCCTCATATCCCTACCCCACCCCTTCCCCCCCGATGGAAATAATACTTTGGAAATTTTTTTTTTTTTTTTACGTCAGACAAATCCGTTAAATTACATTTAAAAACGTTTTTGAAATAAATTTTAAAATCAATTTAATAAATTTTTAATTACGAATGGTAACAAAAAAAAAATGGTAAAAAAGTTTTCCAGGTTACCTGTATTACCTACCTGTCGGTTCAACACACGAATTCCAAAAGAGAAAGAAAGAGAGATAGAGAGAGATAGAAAGAGAGAGAGATAGAATCTGACTTGATTTACATTTAATTAAAAATATTTTGACGGAATCTCAATTATTATAACTAATTATCAAATCTAATATTTGTGAAATTGAATTTAAATCTTGTTTATTATTATTAGTAGTAATTTGATCAATAAACCCGAATTTACGACAATTGTTATAATGAAAGACATAAGTAATTTTCCCATCGAACAATTTAAACCTTTCGTTTTCCCTCTTCCTCCTTTTTTTAAATAAAAAAACCCCATTTTGAATAAATAAAAGGTTTCACATCAAATCCAGAACATTTTTTTTTAAAGCATAAAAAGAATTAAATTAAATTAATAAAATTAATTTTATAAAAAAAAAAAAAAGAGGAAAAAAAATTTTTTTTTGTCACTCATAATTAGTAATAACAAAAAAAAAAAAAAAAAATTTCAACCGAAAGTTTAATTGGTAACCATGGATTCATATTCTATTATATATATATAAGTTACGTTGAGAGAGAGAGAAAAAAAAAAAATTTTAATTCGACTTACTTTTTTTCATTTAATTGTTGTTTTTTCTTTTTGAAAGCTCTTTTCACTCTTAGTAATATAAAAGCTGCTCTGTCTATTGATAATCCGGTACCTTTCATTTTTTCATCCGTTTTATTCATTTTCCAATATTTTTAAATTCTTATCCGGAAAATTTTCAATTTATCATTAATGGAACCACTTGTTATGAATGTTTATAACGTTTCTCTTCATGTTTTTTCACAACCTGAAATTAAAAAAAAAAAAAAAAAAGGTTAGTAACGATCAATTTTTAAGAGGTTTTGACAAAAAATTACTTTTTTTCCGTTATAAAACAAAAAAAAACTAAAAAATAATTTTGCCAAGAAACACTTTTAAGAAAAAATAAAAATAAATTTTTTAATCGCTTTTTAATTTTTATTTATTTATTTATGAAGAAGATATTAATTTTTCATTTTTTATTAATAGTGTTAAACTAACCATTTAATTATTTGATGTTTTTTTTTTTACAACATTACGAATCGTTTTATCAAAAAAAAAAAAAAAAAAAACGCGTAGAGATTTAACAACCACTTGTTGTGATACACTTATTAAAAAAAATTTTTCGCATCTCGTCGGGTTTTTAAATTTTGCGGTTTTGTTATGATTGAAAATCTCCTCCCCCTTCCCCTTCCCTCTCCCCCCCCCTTTTTTTTTGTTTAAATCGTGAAAATTTTTTCGTATTTTCAATAAAATTAATTTTTGGTTAAAACCTCATATATCCGATGCAAATATATTTATATATATGTAACAACCACGAATAATTTTTTTTATTTTTTAAATTCAAATTTTTGAAATATTACGCGCCAATTTAAAAAAAAAAAAAAAAAAGAAAGAAGCGTAAGCGAAATTCAAACAAAAAAAGAATAAAAAAAAATCTTTGGAGGGGGGGGGGGAAATTCGAAATTAGG